CAGGCCTGCCTTCACACGCGCTGCTCTAAGAAACTCTGAGCTAGAGCCTGNACTTCATCCCACTGTGATCAGAGAAGATTCTTTGTATGATATCTTTCTAAATCTACTGTGACTTGTTTTGTGGCCCAGCAATGGGCCACAAATGTCCCATTCTGGACAATGTCCCATGTGCACTGGAGAACGTGTATGCTACTGTTCGATGGAGCTTGCTATATCTCTTTTTAGATGTAGTTGGTTTTTCACGTTGTTCAAGTCCTTCATTTTTCCCCCTTATCTTCTGTCTGGTTGTTCTTTTATTAAAAGTGAAGGACTGTCTCTATTATTGTCGAACTATTTCTCCCTTCAATTCTGTCGAATTTTTGTTTCATATATTCAGAGGGTCTGTTATTTGGTGAGCAAATGCTCATCACTGTTGTATCTGCCTGCTGTATGGAGACTTTTATAAATATATAGTGTCTCTTGTAAACCTCACTGATGTAAAGACTACTCTGTCTGATATAAAGCCATCTCAGCTCTTTGGTTACTATTTGCTTGGAATATCTTCTTCCATCCTTTCACTTTCAACCTCCTCATTTCTTTGGCTCTAAGGTGAATCTCTCATACACAACACATAGTTGGGTTTTTTAAAACAATCTGTCCCTCCGTTCTTCCAATCTCTGTCATTTGGCTGGAGAGATGAACACATTTAACTTTAAAGTAATAGCTTACAAGGAGGGACTGCTGCTGTTTGCTGTTCCTTTTCTACATGCTGCAGAGACTCTCACCCCTCAACAGTTCCTCCATTACTGCCTTTTCTGATTAGCTGACTTTCTGGAGTGACACATTTTGATTCTCTTCTCCTTTCTCCTGAACAAACATTCCAAAGGTATCATCTTTTTGGTTACCATTGGAATTACATCAACTATTCTTCAGTTTTAACAACCTAAATGGAATTTATACCAACTTAACTTCAATAGTATAAAAAACTCTGCTCTTATACAGTTACATCCTCCTCTTCTGTTACTGACATCACACATTACATCTTTACACACTTTATGCCCAGTAACAGAGATGAAAAATTGAATTTTTATGTGTTTGTCTTTCAAGTCATGTAGAGAATAAAAAGTAGTTATAAACCAAAATTACAATCTACTAGCTTCAAAACTGCCCAAGTCAAACAACAAATGCTGGCAAGGATGCAGATAAAGGGGAACCCTCCGACACGGCTGGTGGGAATGTAAACCAGTTCAACCATTGTGGAAAGCAGTATGGAGGTTCCTCAAAAAGCTCAAAACAGAAATACCATTTGACCCAGGAATTCCACTCCTAGGAATTTACCCTAAGAATGCAGGAGCCCAGTTTGAAAAAGACATATGC